CTACACTGAGCACCTGAGAGAGTTTTTTATTCAACTCAGAAACCAAGGTTCTTAAGGTGAATACTACTAATAGACTCCAGGCAAAAAAGCTACAGGGTAACTACTATTCCCTGGGCTAGCAACTCTAACCAGGAGAGTAAGACTTGACAGTGGTGTTTAACGTGGGTCCTCCCTGCCTCATCCAAACCCAGGAGATGGAGCCACAAACAGCAGAACACCAACACACACAGGGAAAATTTGGCAGATTCCAAAGCCCACTGTGATAGTCAAAACGGTGAAACACAGAAACAATAGCCAAATGAAAGAACAACAGACCTCTACCAAAAATGAGATAAATGAGGTGCAATTAAGTAAGTTAACAAAACTAGAATTCAGAAACATGATTTTGAGGAAGGTCAACAGGATGTGTAAGGACATGAGCACCATAAGTAAAGACATAGAAATGCTGAAAATCAACCAGTTGGAAATTAAAAACCATCAAGAAGAAATAAAGAATGACATATCAGAAATAAAGAACACATTGGAAAGTCTAAATAGCAGAGTAGAGGAAGCTGAGGACCAGATCAGTGAATTAGAAGATAGGGTAGAAAAAGTCAACCAATCAGAAAACCAAAAGAAAAAAAATAATAATTAAAAAGCAGGAAAACAGCTTAAGAGAACTGTGGGAAAACGGGAAACGTAATAACATTCGCATCATAGGAGTCCTCGAAAAAAAGAAAATTAGCAAGGGTTAGAGAATATATTTGAAGAAATAGTGACAGAAAACTTCCCTAATTTGGTGAAGGAAGAAGGCATTCAAGTTCAAGAAGCACAGAGAGCCCCAAATAAGAAGAACCGAAACAGGCCCACACCAAGACACATAGTAATCAGTGTGCCAAAACTTAAAGACAAAGAGAGAATCCTAAAAGCAGGAAGAGGGAAGCAACAGGTTACCTACAAAGGAAACCCCATAAGGCTCTCAGCTGACTTTTCAACAGAAATGCTACAGGCCAGAAGGGAATGGCATGAAGTAATCAAGGTAATGAAAAACAAGGATCTGAATCCAAGACTACTCTAACAAGGAAGGCTATCATTCAAAATAGAAGGTCAAATAAAGAGCTTCCCAGACAAAAAAAAAAAAAAAAGGCTAAGGGAATACATTAGCACCAAATCAGCACTGCAAGACATGTTAAAAAGACTGCTGTAATTAGCAGGAGAAATAGAAAGTAAAATTAACCACACTAAAAAAATGGCAGTAAATAAGTACAAATCAATAATCACCTTAAATGTAAATGAAATGCACACTCCCATAAAACGACAGAGTAGCTGATTAGATAAGAAAGCATGACTCATCTATATGTTGTTTGAAAGAGACCTACCTAACAACAAAAGACTCACATAGGTTGAAAGTGAAAGGATGGAAAAAAAAATCTTCCCAGCAAACGGAAAGGAAAATAAAGCTGGGGTAGCAATACTCATATCTGATAAAATAGATATCAAAATGAATGCCATAACTGGAGACAAAGACAGCCACTACATAATATTGAAAGGATCTATCCAACAGGAAGATATAACCTTGATAAACATATATGCACCCAATATAGGAGCAACAAAATACATTAAAAATCTTCTTGAGGACTTCAAAGAAGATATTGATAACAATACAATCATAGCAGGGGACTTCGACACCCTGCTGACACCACTGGATAGATCCTCTAGACAAAAAATTTGCAAGGAAACAGAGACTCTAAATGAAGCACTAGATCAAGTGGATTTAATAGGTATCTACAGAGAATTACACCCCAAAACTAGAGAATACACATTCTTCTCAAGTGCACATGGGACATTCTCAAAGATAGAGCACATGTTAAGACACAAACTAAGTCTCTACAAGTTCAAGAAGACTGAAATCATATCAAGAATCTTCTCAAATCACAATGGCATGAAACTAGTAATCAATTGCAACAAAGACATTTGAACACATGGAAGGTAAATAGCACTTTATTAAACAATGTATGGATTACCGAGGAGATCAAAGAAGAAATTAAAAACTTCCATGAAACCAATGAAAATGAAGAAACAACAACACAAAATCTATGGAATGCAGCAAAAGCAGTTCTGAGAGGGAAGTTCATAGCACTACAGGTCTACCTCAAAAATCAAGAAGATTCTGTAACAGATTATCTAACATCACAACTTAAAGAACTAGAGAGCAAACAAAAAGAAAACCACAGCGCAAGTAGAAGGAAGGAAATAGTAAAGATCAGAGCAGAAATAAACGATATAGAGTCCAAAAAAACAATTCAAAGGATCAATGAAACAAAGAGGTCTTTTTTCGAAAAGATAAACAAGATTGATGGATCCTTAGCTAGACTCACCAAGAAACAAAGAGAGAGAACCCAAATACACAAAATAAGAAAAGAAAGAGGAGACGTTAACAACTGACACCACAGAAATACAAAACATCATTAAAAACTACTATGAACAATAATAGGGCAACAAATTAGACAATTTAAGTGAAATGTACAAATTTCTAGAAACACATAATCTCCCAAAACTGGACCAGGAAGAGATAGAAAACTTGAACAGACCAATAACAACAGAAGAAATTGAAGACATAATCAAGATTCTTCCAGCAAACAAAAGCCCAGGCCTGGATGGCTTCACTGGGGAGTTTTACTGAACATTCAAAGAAGAAATAACACCCATTCTTCTCAAACTATTTCAAAAAATTCAAGAAGAAGAAAGACTTCCAAACTCGTTTTTAGAAGCGAGCATAATTCTAATTCCAAAACGAGAAAAAGACACTACAATAAAACAAAACTATTGGCCAATATCTCTGATGAACATAGATGTCAAAATCCTGAAAAAAAAAAAAAAAAATACTAGCAAATTGGATCCAGCAATACACCAAAAAAATCATTCACCATGACCAAGTGGGATTCATCCCAGGGATGCAAGGCTGGTACAATATTCGCAAATCAATAAACATGATACACCACATAAACACAATGAAAGATAAATATCATATAATCATATCAATAGATGCTGAAAAAGCCTTCAACAAAATCCAGCATCCATTTCTTTCTTTCTTTTTTTTTTTTTTTTTTTTTTTTTTACTTTTGAAAGGATTTATTTTCATAGAGTTGAAAATGAACAAGAAATGAATCCTTATGTTCTACCATGAGAGAATAACATTTTCCTTCATGCATTTCACACTGGCACTTGCCAGAAAGTATTAAGAGTTTGCATTGAAAACATGATCACTAATTTTTTTTCTTATTGCACACATGCAACGTAAACAATTTTAGCTAGACTCTTATGATTAGTCACTTTTGTTAGCATTTTGACCTGTTTTTATCTCACCCTTTGCCAAAGGATACTAAAATCACAATGTTCCTCTTCACTGACTAGGCACACCTTACTACTCAACAGTTAGAACCTGACACCCCAACAGCTAATACTGGTCCAATGACTAAACCCGTGAGGCTGAAAACAGGTCTGCCTTTTATCCTCACAGTCCTATTTTATTCTGCCCTCAAAACTACCTTATTTTCAAGATACAATTAATTTAGTAACATATTCCCGTGGGTGAATAATATATTTGCAAATGTAATAATAAATTTGCAGTAATAAATTTGCTAATTGTCCTTACATGTGAAAAACAGTCTTGAAGATACACAGTTCTAGTTCAATGGCTTGGGCAGTGAATAGAGCAAGAAAAGACAGGCCAGGTTAAAGGAAACAATTTCAGATCACTTAATTAAGGCAAATATGTTTTGCTTGTGAATGTGAGCAGTGTAACATCAAATACATTATCCTCCTTGTATTTAAGTTGCATTTAGTATTTAGAATGTGTTTTTTCACATGTTCTAAAGGAAGGGTAAATTTTAATGTGTCAGGTGTTAGGGACAGACATTTTCTACTGGAGGACACTGGGAGATGCTTATTGGTGCTCTAGGTAGAAATGATTCCCTGGTCCAGTAAGTTTGAGGAACATGCCAGCATTGTTACTGGTAATTCACATGTATGGTAGTACATCAAAGGCTCTGAGAAGCCAATAAAGAGATTTGACTTAACAAGGCTGAAGCCTTAATCTAGGGTTTCCCAAACTTGAGTGGGGGATGTTCTTTTTCATGGCACATGTATTACTATTTTCTAAACAAGCCATTACAGAGCTCAACCAGTCTGGGAAACTGATTAGAGCATAGCTGAAATTTGACTAATAGATTCTTGGTAAAAAAAGACCTTGTTCAGAAATATAGTCAATGAAATTAATTTCCAATTAAAGTTTTGAAAAGCACTTAGTATAAATGGCCATGAAAAGTAAGGATTTTAGAAGTTAAATTAATCCAAGCATGTTCAATTCTATAAGGAATATAGAATCGAACATATTTAAGCAATTGGACAGGAATGAACATTTTATTGAGCATTTATTATGCATTAGGTAGAGATAGCCCTTATTTATCTTCAAAATAAGTTGGCAAAGTATTATACCATTTTATGAGTGAAGAGAACTGAAAATAAAGATTTGCATTTTATATCACTAAGTGGTACAGCTGGGAATGGACCTTAAGTGAGTGTGACTCTGAAGACGTGAAAAGTTAAAGGCTTCAGATGAACACATAAAATATCTTTATGAAAAAGACAGGCATGAGAAAACGACACCTTAAAAGTTATTGTAGAACATAACCTGAAAACTAAAAAAAAATTCTTTCAAAAGCCTGCATTTCCATCTAAAATAGGTGCTAAACATTACCTCAGTTAGATTTCCTAATGCATTACATGTATAAAAAATGTTTGGATTCAGTCAATAAAATCCAGCAATTAAAAAAAATCCCTTTACTCACAGTCCTCCACTCCCATAACTAGTCCAAGGACATTTAAAAAATAATTCATAAAGTAGTTGCCAGAGATTTCAGTCAGTTCATTACTGGTGAATATACAAAAACTTACAAGAGTCACAGAGTTCGAAACTATTAATTTATAAAAATAATAAAACATCAATATGACCAAGAAGATCAGGATTTACTCTCATCAATGTCCTCATCTGGGTCTTGCTCGTCAGCTTCCTTTTCCTGTTGCTGTTTCTTCCAAAGTTTGGCCATGGCCAGGAGCTTGAGATTTGGCTGGTTGGCAGCATCTTCCAGAAAGATGTAATTATAGTATTCTTCCCAGCCTGCATCAGACCCATCATCAGCCTGGACCTTTCTTCTCTTCTTGACTTTCTCTGGCATGAGTTTGTCTACTCTTTCCTTATCTGATGTAGTTCCAAATTCATCTTCAAAGCTTCGCCAAGATTCCAGCAGAATAAGTCTCTCTTCCTTTTCTTCACAGTTTCGCAAGGTTTTGTTAGCTTCTTCGTAAATTTGTCTGCATTTAGCCAAACTTCCTTCTTTCCCTGAAGACAACTCAAACTGAGCAAAACTGATCCATACCTTGACATGTTGTGTCCTTTGAAGCAATCCTCGGTAAAGATTGCGTGTTCTTTCCGTTTCTTCCTGCTCAATTTCAAAATCAATGTATGATTTCCAGAGCACCTCTGGCATATCTAAACGTGGCTGGCTGATGGGTAACTCGTAGATTGCATGGGCTCTCTCAGTATCGCCAAGGATTATCTCTAGTTCTGCAAATTTAATCCAAGAGGTACAATTTTCAGGTCCAAATTCCAGGAACTTTTCATAAAGCTTCCGGCATCTGTCAAATTCTCGAAGCTGTAGCTCCAATTCTATGTAACCTTTAAACAACTTGTTCTTTGGACATTTGCCTATGGAAGTTCCCAAAGCTCTTCTGGGAAATGGTAAATTTTCCTGTCTTATTTCAAATTGTGCATATAGTAACCACATTTTGGCAAATGTGAACTTTTTATGAGGAATTAGTTCCAAAGAGTCTTGATACACCTGTCTTGTTCTTTCAGGATCCTTTGCCTCCAGTTCTTCATAGAGTGCATAGTTGACCCAAAGATAGATGTAGCGCTTCCAATGTCTCTTCTCCTGAATGGGTGGGACATTGGCAATAGCTCTTTCATAGACTTCACGTACAGTTTCTGCTTCTGCATCACTTTCCACTAAGCGCAGGTAATCAAACCAGGCATCATAATTGTGTGCATTAGCCTTCACTTCTTCTTCATACTGGAATCTCCGTTTGCTCATAATAATGTCTTCAATCCCACGCCTATCACCAAACTTCTTCTCAAAGATGGTATAATTTTTAAAAAGTTCTTGTGCCTTTTGTTTTGAAATTCTATCCAGGGCATACTTGTAAATCACTCGTACCCTTTCAAATTCCTTTTGATTTTCTTCAAATTTCGCAAAGGCAACATAAAGACGTTCATCCATATAGAAATAGAGGAAGATATAAAAAAATGGAAGCACATACACTGTTCATGAATTAGAAGAATTAACATCATTAAAATGTCCATACCACCCAAACCAATTTATAGATTCAATGCAATCCCCATCAAAATACCAGTGACATACTTCACAGAATTAGAACAAATACTTGAAAAGTTTATATGAAACCAAAAAGGACCTCAAATAGCCACAGCAATCTTGAAAAAGAAGAACAAAGTTGGAGCGATCACATTACCAGATTTCAGGTTACACTACAAAGCCACTGTAATCTAAACATCCTGGTAATGGCATAAGAACAGGCATATAGACCAGTGGAACAGTTCAGAGAACCCAGAAATGCACCCAAGGCAATATGCTCAATTAATATTTTACAAAGGTGGCAAAAGCATACAGTGGAGTAAGGACAGCCCCTTTAATAAATGGTGTTGGGAAAATTGGACAGCTACATGCAAAAAAAAAAAAAAATGAAACAAGACCATCAATTTACACCCTACACAAAAATAAACTCAAAATGGATAAAAAACTTAAAAGTGACTCATGAATCCATAAAAATCCTAGAAGAAAGTGTAGGCAACAAAATTTCAGACATCATTCGCAGCAGAATTTTCACTGATACATCACCTAATGCAATAGAAACAAAAGAGAAAATAAACATATGGGACTACATCATACTCAAAGCTTCTGCACAGTGAAAGATACAATCATCAAAATGGAAAGGCCACCCACTGTATGGGAGAGCATAATTGCCAATGATATATCAGATAAGGGGTTAATTTCAAATATATATATGCAACTCAACAAAAGGAAGACAAAGAACCCAATTCAAAAATGGGCAGAGGAACTAAATAGACACCTCTCCAAACAGGACATACAAATGGCTAAGAGACATATGAATAAATGCTCAACATCACTAATCATCAGAGAGATGCAAATTAAGACAACAATGAGGTATCACCTCACACCTGTCAGAATGGCTGCCATCAACAAATCATCAAACAACAAGTGTTGGTGAGAGTTTGAAGAAAAGGGGACTTTAGTACAGTTTTGGTGGGAATGCAGACTGGTGCAGCCACTATGGAAAACACTATGGTGTTACCTCAAAAAATTAAAAATTGAACTTCCATTTGACGCTGTGATGCCACTTCTAGGAGTATACCCTAAGAAGCCTGAAACACCAATCAGAAAGAATATAGGTACCCTCATATTTGTAGCAGCACTATTTACAATAGCTAAGGTCTGGAAACAGTCCAATTGTCCATCAGTAGACAAATGGATAAAAAAGCAGTGGTACATATACACCATGGCATACTATGCAGTTGTAAGAAAGGTCTCTTATCCTTTGAGACTACATGGAGGGACCTGGAAAGTATTATCCTAAGCGAAACAAGCCAAACAGAGAAAGACAAGTATCATATGATCTCACTTACTTGTGGAATATAATGAATATAATTGTCTGAGGAATGGGCTAGTCCCAGAGACGTGGAAGTAGGGTACAGACTGACAATCCCCAGAAGAGGGAGTGGTGGGGAAGAAATAAACCACAGAACTTATATGCATGTATGCATGAACAATGGACATGGACAACAAAGCTGGCAACAGGGCAGGGAGGTAGGGGGAGGGCGGAATCAGTGGGGGAAAATGGAGAAACATCTGTAACAAAAATAAATTAATTAATTTTAAAAAAAAGGAAATACTAAAAGCAAGAACACAATTTAGGAGGCCAATGAAATAGTCTAAGAATGCATGAAAGTTGTGTGGACATCAGAGATGTTTAGGACATTTTAAGATATGTCCACAAATTATCTGATACTTCTCTTTTTATGAAATTAATTGCCCTCTCGTTGTGTGTGGCCTGTATTCCTAACTTATGTCCATTGAATAGACTATGGTGGAAGTGAGTGTCTGTAGCTTCTGAAACTAGGTCATAAAAAGCAGGTGCTCTCCTCCTTGCTGTTTCCTGGATCCATCACTTTGAGGAAATCTAGCTGTCATGTGATGAGGTACTCAAACAGCTCAAAGGGGAGTCCCATCTAGTGAGGAATTAATACCTTTTTTCAATAACTGATGATGGAATTGTGGCTTCCTGCCAATGATTATGTAAATGAGAAAATTTGAATGCTGATCCTGTAGCTCCAATCAAGCCTTCAGATGACTACATCCTCAGCTGACATTTTTACTACAATCTCATGAGAGATTCTGAGCCAGAACTACCCAGCTAAGCCATTTTTAGATTCCTCACCCTCAGAAACTGAATGAGAAAATAAGTGTTTATTATATTAAGATGCTAAGTTTTAGGATAATTTGTTACACAGCAATAGATAAATATGACAATTTGGATGTAAAAGGTGAGGGAAAAGAATAAGGCAAAGATGACTCCCAAGTTTCTGGCTTATGCCACTGGGTAGTTTGATTTACTGAGGAAGAGAAGGGGAAGGACAAGTTTGAGGTATAGTGACCAGAGAAGAAAGATAAAAAGTTTATTTTGCAGTTTTTTGGACTAAATGGTGTCCCCGTCAAAATTTATATGTTGAGGTCCTAATACCCAATGAAGCTGTATTTAGAGACAGTGCCTTTGAGGAAGTTATTAGGTTACATAAGGTCATATGGGTGGGGCCCTATTCCAATAAGACTGCTGTCCTTATAAGAAGAGGAAGAGACACCAGATCTCTCTCTCTCTCTATCTCTCTCTCTCTCTCTCTCTCTCTCTCTCTCTCTCTCTCTGCATGCAGAGAAGACGGCCATGTAAGGACACAGCAAGAAGGTGGTAGTCTCCAACCCAGTGATAGAACTCTCATAAGACACCAACCCTGCTGGCACCTTGTTCTTGCACTTCCAATCTCCAGAATTGTGAGGAAATAAATTTCTGTTACTTAAGCCACCCAGTCTGCAGTAGTCTGTTATAGCCACCTGAGTTAACTAATACAGACAGGTTTAGTTTGTGACAGCACAACATTTATGTTGTCAACATGCAGTGGTCAGGGGGAAATATACCTGGAGTTCGGAAGTAACATGTAACTGTGGGAGTCATCCAATCATTAGCATTTGGAGGTGGATGATGTAGATCATCTAGAGAGAAAAAGTACATGGAAAAGAAAAAGAAGGAGAGGTAGGATGGAATTAGGGGGTAGGAATAGCACCTATAATTTAATGATTCAATAAGATAGAGTGGATGCTTTGAAGAAGCTGTTAGAAAGATAAAAGTCACAGTCTGAGGAATGGGATAGTCCCAGAGATGTGGAAGTGGGGTACAGACTGACAATCCCCAGAAGAGGGGGTGGGGGGAGATAAATCACAGAACTTATATGCATGTATGCATGAACAATGGACATGGACAACAAAGCTGGGGACAGGGCAGGGAGGGAGGGAGGGAGAGGGGGGTATCAGTGGGGGAAAAAGGAGAAACATCTGTAACAAAAATAAATAAATAAATTTTTTAAAAAAGTGAACTATAGCAGAAAAGAAGGGAGATTTTTGAAGCCATGGAAGTTAAGTGCCAAACACTTGGAAAATATATGTGAAAAGAGGATCAAGACAGGCTGTTAACCTTTCTAGTTAAGAGTTCATTGCTAACCTTTGCAAGAGAGATTTACCTGACCTCTGAAAAGCCAACTTAAAGCTGATTTTGCAATAACACTCATATCTACTTTCAATGAAAGATGTGTTGCTTGGCAGCTGGGGGTAACCTCTGCACATGGTCTTTAGCAGCCAGCTCCTTCAGAGATTGCCTCAGCTTCAGAGAGTCACTTTTTCCAAGTCCATGCTTTTTTTCAGGGTGACACATATCCAATGACTGATCTGTGTGGAAGCATTGAAGTCTAGCCATCTCAGCCTAACTCAGGGCAACTCTAACGGGCCACCCCAGTCTGGAGAGACCTGTGAGCTTAGATGAGCAATCATTGGGTCTATATCATAGCTCATTTTCTTTCTTTGCCCAATTCTTCTTCTCCCTCCCTTTTACAGATGTTAATCCCAAGGTAACTCAATCATAACTATCTTGTATTCTAACTCTGTCTCAGATTCTGCTCCCCAGAGGACCCAATGTGAGACATTGGTTGAAGAAAATAAAAAGAGGCTTTAAGTACTACTCTTCCAAGGCCTCAAAGAACCAAAGAGAGATGGATCATAACTTCAGGGCAAGGATGTTGTCCTCTAAATCTCCTTCTATACAAGGCAAAAAGTTGTACTCACGGTAGGTGTTTTTGCCTTGCCTTGTAGAACTCCAGGAGGAAGACAGAGTGGGCAGTTAAATGAGTTATTCTTCAGATTTTTCCTTTCAAATTTTTAAAAGAAAATATAAGCAAAAAAATCTTAGATTGATTTGAATTGCCTTTTCCCTTCCCCCAGCCCACCACACACACACACACACACACACACACACACACACACACATACTTTTTATATTTCCTAGAAATAACTGACCCCCTTTTCGCTCTTCCCTGGTCAAGGTCAGAAATAAAAAGTCATTATACTGTCTATTTTTTCTCCAAGAAGAATATAGGGAAAAGAAGAGAGACAAGGAGCACTTTCGATTGCTGATAACAGGAGAGGCCATGTTAGCTGGGGTCAAGCCAACCACTAAGCTTCAGACTTAAACAACTTTAAACTTATTCCTCAGATGAGAGAAACTCAGTCAGTGGGAACAAACACATGGCTGGGTTGACATAGGGGAATCATGGAGCAGGTCCAGAAGGAGGCTATACCATTCTCAGCAGTCCTCTAACATGACAGACCCCAAGCTTCCTCTCTGGAGAAAATGGAGCCAAAAAAAAAAAAAAAAAACTTAATGAGGTGCCTTGTGATCACCAAAGAGGGTACTTCCCCACTAAGGCCCAACCTTCAAATCAAAGGACTTCTTTTTTCATGCAGTTGTCTGACTGGAAGCCAGTGGGAGCTCTATGCTTGTATGCAATAGACATGCAGGGAGATAGGTAGAGACCATGGGTGTCATGATTGCCCAGCACCAGAGTTGCAAAATACAAAGACTA